TTTTCTCCAGTGGAGGCACAGGGGGATGGTGGCCACTACTCCGTAGGTAGAGCCAGCAAAGCCCAAATCAGATCACCAGTCAAGGGAGCCAAATTGGTTTTAATTTTTTTAGATTTACTTACTTTATTGTATGTGTATGAGTGTTTTGATTCCATGCATGCATGTATACCACATGCATATTTGATGCCGTGGAGGTCAGAAGGTGCTGGATTCCCTCAAATTGGAGTTACAGATGGTTATGACCCACTAACATGTGGGTACCACTGGTCCTTTGCAAGATCATCAAGTGGTTTCTCCAACCCCTTGATTTTACATATGTGTGTGTGTGTGTGTGTGTGTGTGTCCATCAACCCAGGCAGTATTTAAAACTTGCTTCAAATTTGATTTTAAACTGTGGTAGTGGTCTTATTCTTGACCAGTGGAATCAACACTGGGTATTCATTTTCTTTTCTATGATAGTTAATAATTTTGTAAAAAGCCAAACAAGAAAGAAAATATTTAAATGGTACTTGCCTTACCCCAGGTAGAGAGGTAGTAATCATAGTTGGCGCTTCTTGGGTGATGGATTACTGGCTGTGCCATCACACCCACCTATCTACCTTTTTTTTTTTTTAAAGAATTGTATGACAGGATGATATGCTGTGTGTGTGTCTGAAAGTGGGAGGTCAGAACCTCTACAGCTGGAGTCACAGTTATGAGCCACCTGATGTAGGTGCCCAGCTACCTTTTAAAACTTTTGTGTTTGCAGTCTTGTGGGTGGACATATTCTGAATGTTACTCCACTGTGTGTGTGTGTGTGTGTGTGTGTGTGTGTGTGTGAGAGAGAGAGAGAGAGAGAGAGAGAGAGAGAGAGAGAGAGAGAGAGAGAGCACGTAATACCTGGTCCTGAAGATGGCCTTGTGCATCTAGGAGAGGGCTCTACCACTGAGCTACATCTCTAGTTGCAGGATAGGCTGAGTTTAACAGTGGATCTTAAACTTAGTAAACACTGTAATCACAGACTGGATTGATGGGATAGAATTCTGGGCCCAAGTTCCTGGCTCATGCGGCTGGAGTCAAGTGTGAAGATGAGGATCTGATAAGTTTTCGAAGGGTGCCCAATTGGCATTGGGAATCATATTCTGGGAGTGTCTGTCCTTGAGCCGTTTCTAAGGATGGGGAAGGAGTGGATATTGGAGGAGTATCATAGTCTTCTCTTGCATAGAGGTCCCCAAACACAGCAAGGCTCTCCTTCAAGTCGAGCTTTTGGACTTCTGCTCCATTCCAATCACATGCATAAACTGATCACATCTCCAGAATAGCTAGCCCTCTGCCGTGCAGGTAGTTTTTCTCCTGAGTTTGCCCACCAGCTGTGACTCACAGCTTTCAACCCACTGTGGGATTTCTTACACAGTAAGTCTAAGCACAATTTCTACTGTCCTGAAACCTTCAAGAATGTCCGGGAGACTGAGTATATTTATGGGCAATTACTGCAACATTTCCGATTTTTGATCTTACATTTTTTTTTCCCCCCGAGACAGGGTTTCTCTGTGGCTTTGGAGCCTGTTCTGGAACTAGCTCTTGTAGACCAGGCTGGCTTCAAACTCACAGAGATCCGCCTCCTTCTGCCTCCTGAGTGCTGTGATTAAAGACGTGCACCACCAACACCCGGCTGGTCTTACAGCTTTTTAAAAAGACACAGATTTAATGTTAATAAAAATTATTAGGTCTTAAATAAATGAATTTGTATGTATAGTATTTATAGCCTGGGAATGTAACTCAGGTTAAACTGATGGCTTAGCATGAGTAAGGTCCTCCAAATAAAAATAAAAAGTGAGGCCTTTTAAACAGTCATAAATCTTAAGCCTAGTACCAAAAGCACTTTGCCAAATACAGTGGAGCTCTTCTGAGATGCCAGAAATGTAGGCCTGTAGAGGGATTTCCATATGGGCTCTTTGTGGCACCAAGGGGCAGCTGGGCCAATGCAGAGGCTGAAGGGAAGGAGGCTTCCCTTCAGGTCTGGGCTGTGGGAAGACAATAAACATATGCTAAGTGGTCAGGATAGGCTGAGCTCAGCTGCACTAACAAATGAATCCCAGACTGTTAGTCAGTTTTCTGTTGCTGTGGCAAAATAACCTAAAGGAAGAAGGATGTATTCTGGCCCATGGTTTGAGAGATTTCAGTCCATGGTTACAGGGCTTTCGGTGAAGCAGTCATGGCTAGAGTATGTGATAGAACAAAGCTGCTTACATCATGGTGGCTGGAAAGAAAGAAGGGTTGTACCCAATATCTCTTCAAGGGTACGTCCCAATGACCTAACTTCCCTCCACCTGTCTGCAATAGCACCATCAGCTCAGGCGAAACCTTCAATACATGAGATTTTGGGGGACACTTGTATCCAAATCATATGCCACCACCAACACCACCACCAAAAAACTTTTCATGCCACCTATCCCTTGTGGGTTATCAGAACTTCTGGGCCATACTTGTCACCCAGGGTGGATATCCAAGCTGGATGAAGCACGCCTTAAGCCAGACAACTTTCCACAGCAGGAGGAAAAGAGAATTTTCACTAATCACTTAACCAAAACCAGTGAGAGGCTGGAGAGATGGCGCAGCAGTTAGGAGCACTGGTGTCCTTTGCAGAGGACTAGAGTTCAGCTCCCTGCACCCATCTCAGCTGGCTCAGATATGCACCTGTGGATACTGACATGCAGATGCACACACGAGTGAAAACAGATCTTTTGAGGAAAGACACAAAGGTTCTTTTCTGATCTTCACAAGTACCTCCTCACACACAGATACATAAATAAACCTACACAGGAAAGATAGGTCCAAGGAAATAGCAGGGGTTTGGGAAACACATTTGAGCACATCAAGTCCAGGGAAGAATTGCAAGGCAATGCAGGTGACCACTGTAAAGGAGTTACTTTTTACTTGGTGGGCTTTTGCTTGCTTTAATCCCAGCACTCGGGAGGCAGAGGCAGGTGGATCTCTGTGAGTTCGAGACCAGCCTGGTCTACAAGAGCTAGTTCCAGACAGCCTCCAAAGCCACAGAGAAACCCTATCT